AGAGAGAGAGAGAGAGAGAGAGAGAGAGAGAGAGAGAGAGAGAGAGAGAGAGAGAGAGAGAGAGAGAGAGAGAGAGAGAGAGAGAGATTTGTCCTGTGCTACTAGTTGGCAAATTGGTGGAACTTATCCACAAATAGTTTTTTTAAATCCCCCTAAGTTCACCTCACGCACAGAAGCTGAGCTAGTTTTTATTTTTATACCACCCTGATGTGAGGTAATTGATAACATGCACTTCTTTCCCTGGCCTGGTGAAAAAGAAACGGTATCATTTTGTTTTTATTTTTTTGCCATGTTTCTGTTTTTTTTTTGCACACATTTTCCTCAAAATAGTCATGATGAGAGCAGCAAAAGTCAGTACAAACTTACAAAGTCAAGGACCCCACAGGACCGTGGAAAGGAAAAACTTCGCCGCAAAACCGTTTCCAGAACCCCACAGCCTGCCGCAAACGTCCTGGAAAAGATGAAATTTCTTCCCCAAACCCTTTTCCAGGACTCCACAGACCGAAGATTGCGGCTTGGAAAAACATCGTTTTGTGTTTTCACATACTCCGCGGCCTGGAAAAGTCTCACGGGAGGATTCCTCACCGAAATTTTGTGCCGACTCTAGAGGGTACTAGGGGGGAGGGTATGTCTCTCCTGTAAAAGTCTCACAGGAGGCAGCGGCCACTAGAGATGAAGAGTGGCACCAAAAAAAAAAAAAAAAACGGAAAAAAAGAACAAAACAAACGACATCCAGCGGAAACAGGCAACGATTGGCTCAACTGATTTCCAAAGGGTTTTCCAACCGCATTTGCTCCTCTGCGATGGGGTCCCCGAAAAAAAGTACTTTCCCACTTTCCAAAATGGCTTGCTCGCTTTCATGGGCAAACGTCTTTTCCATCCGCACTGCAGTGGGGTCCTTGCCAACGTCTGACCAGATGCGTACACACACATAGCCGCGAAAAAAAATGGCCTACCCCCCGTTTTCCAACCATCCGGACCGGGATCCGGAAACCTGGACCGGACACCGGACACCGGACACCGGACTCCGGACTCCGGACAGTCCGGATCCCTGTCCGGGTTTCCGGATGGTAGCTATGGTACAAAGTCTGACCAGACGCGTATACACACATAGCCACGAAAACATCACGGCGAAAATATGCGAGAATCTCAAATCAGATTACAGAACAAGATGTGATCGTTGCCGGACACTAGCCAGTTTATACTCATGAGCTTAATGAACAAAATAGTCATGACCTTTACATTGCATGAAATCTCAATCTCTTGTTACAAAAAGAAAAAGAGGATTCCTTGTGAGCTTCGGGACATCCGTTAAAATTGGAACGATACAGAGAAGATTAGCATGGCCCCTGCGCAAGGATGACACGCATAAATCGAGAAATGGTCCAAATT